TGTGAAATGTACGAGAGCACTTTATTCGATCAAATTATCTATTAGAAGATGAAAAACTGAATGTCATGCTTCAATATTTTTACTTTTAAAGTGAGTGAAATAACGGCTATGTTCCACTAATAATTTTCTATTTAATAAATTAATATTTTTTGCAACTGAATAGCCTGTCCGGATCCTCTATTAACCGTTTTGACTAGCTGCCTCTCAGCAAGTCTATCTCCTTAGTATATGTGCTTATTGGGTTATGGATCGGACTGACTAGCAAGTTGCATATAAACATATAGGTAAATTTGAGAGTCGGATCTCCAGGAAGAAACACAATCTTTTTGTATTTCTACTCAATAAAACATCAACCCTTTCAGTGAAAAAAAAAAACACTGCTTATCGCTCCTTGTTCTTTAAGAGCTTGTTGCACTAGCATGTAACCCTTTCCTGTGCGGGTAGTGTCCGCTGTGTAGGGGCAGTGGGGGTGGTGCTTAGCGCTATTTCACTGATTACATTTTTCTTTTTTTTTTTAAATGGTCACAAACTAAAAATATATATGTATTGCTATATGGAATTTCCATACTTTCTATCCCACACCTATTAGCCATATCGATCTAGAAGTTGGTGAAGTTACATATTGAAGATGCCCATAGAATGTACTTCCTCAATGCAGTGACACAATTTCACTTAGCCCTGTGAATATGTACTTCCTTGTGTCACAACTCTTACTGAACCTGCCTTCTGAAGTACAACTCAACATCCGTACAGTGTAACATCATCATTGCTTGTTGGAAACAATGTATGATTGGATATGTAGTCTTCATAAATCAAGATTGCATCACATCAAACAACAGGGAAAGAGATGCCAAGCAAACTGAGAATCCAGGTAGTTGTTGAAAGTGAAGGGCAGATGGAAGGCAGTACTCACTACATAACAGGGATTTTTCAAGTAAGCTTTGATTGCATTATCACAAACAACTCTAGTGTGTATTCCTATTACAGGATAGTATATGCTGTGACTTTAGAACGGTGACCCTTCATTAAAGTTAATGCACGGCAACTGAGTTGTGTTGTGGTGACAGGCAGACTTTGGGTTAGGTCCGCTGCATTGCAGAAAAATGCAGCATTTTACTTACAATTACCATGTCCTGGGCCACTTAGGCACAAATGATGTAATTGTGCCCATGTATTGCATCCTGGGAAGGTTACATCAACAGTGCATTGCTGGAAACTCTCATCTGTAATCTCATGAGATCTCAGGGAAAGGCATTTTCCTCCCATGAGATTATGTACATGGTCACATGTCCTAGTCACATGTGCCAGAGTTCCAGGCAATAAAGGGAAATCGATTTATCTGCCCTTAGTAAAAATGGCCACTGTGTGATGAATGGAGAGGAAAAGAAAAACAAGGTATGCAAAGAATAAAAAGCTGGCAATTATCTAGTATTACTTTGTTCAGTCTTTGTTGTTATGTTGAGGATATGAGTAAAGTTTCTTTTTAACCACCTCCTGCCTGGCCATTGTAAATAAACGGCGGCTTCTTGAATCCCGGGGGATTTTTTTAAACGTCCTTTCCTGCCGCACATGTGCCCCCGATAGGCGGCGCACACGAGTGGGATATCTCCTTGAAACCTAAACAGCCAGTGATGGCTGTTTACATACAAGCGTTCTGGTCGATCGCCCAATCTCTCGTATTATGCGTGCTGGTGTGTGACAGGTCCTCTTTATGGATGTCTCCATAAAGAGGACCTGTCACTGTATATAGGCTACCACATAGGGTACTTGTTATCTCCCTATGTGATATTGATAAAGTTAAGTGAAAACAAAGTTTAAAAAAAATTAAAGGAGAACTATGGGGTTAAGTCTTTTCCCCATAGTTCTCCTTAGGGTAACGGGAGGACACAAACTAGCGTCCTCCCGTCACCCTAGGCTCAGTATACCGCGAGCTGTAGCTCGCAGTATACTGAGACGCCGCAGCGGAAGCGGATCCCGACAATTGTGCCGGGATCCGCCCAGCTGCTTGACTGACAGCTGGCTCGGCCTATCTAGAGGCAGAGCCAGCTGTACCCGCCCCCCCCCCCCCCCTTCCGCCAGTCAGCGCTGGCGGATCGGAGCGGGGAGAGGGAAATCCAGCCCCTCCCTGTCACGGCAGAGAGTCGTAACAGGATCGAGAGGTGAGCGAACGCCAGTATGTGTTCGCTCACCTCCCGATCTACTGAGCTGACCTGTGACAGTCTCATTGTCACAGGTCGGCTAGAACTATGAGGTGAGTGAAAAGCACTCACCTCATAGTTCTCCTTTAAAGTTACAAAAAAGTCACATATAAGCATTTAAAACAAAAAACACAAAAATGTTTTTAAAGTCCCCCGCCCACACATGCAAACAGAGTGCGCCTACCAGTTAAAATGACCATTACCCCACACATGTAACATATCACCGCAAACGTTGGAGTGTTGGCAATAATTTTAGGGCCATCAATCACTGTTAACACTAAACTGTTGAGTAGTAAATGCTTTTTAAGAATCGCCTATGGCCAATTTTGGGTATGGTAGGTTTTTGCGATTTCGTGGGTATGCACAATTGTAAAGCTTGACATTGATATCTTACCCGATGTGACCCTGTCTTTTATATTTTACCAAAAATTTGGGTAATAATAAATGTTTCATAACTTAACATTAGGGAACACTTTTTTTGAAAAAAAATGTTGGTACTTTTTTGTTAGATAGTAAAAAATAAAAAAATCCAGTGGTGATTAAATATCACCACAAGAAAGCTCTATCTGTCCTAAAACAATGGTATACAATCCATTTCAGTGTGGTGTTGCATGACTGAATAAATATCAGTCAAAGTACCGCAGTGCTAAATACTGAAAAATGGCCTGGACAGGAAGGGGGTGTAAACACTCCGCTCTTGATGTGGTTAAAGCCTATCTCTAATAAATAAAAAACAAACTACCCTTTTCATGGGGCTACCCCTGCATTGCAAGGGTTAACTGCTCATTTTTAGGGGTATCGTGTAAAGCACTTTTACTTACCAGTCAGCGTTCCCATCTGTCCCCTATGCTCTGGCTCGTGGACTGTCCTTCAGCGTCCTCACATAGCCCTGCATTAGATCTGAAGACATTAGCGTCTTCCTACTGCCAGAGAAGGGGCTGCGGGTGCCGGTCTTGGAGCCTGGGGGAGTGGGGATCAAAAAAGTAAAATTGAATGGTGTTCCTATCACTAGGAGTCGAGGAACGCGGGATTTTCCTTTGCCCCTTGGCGCCATCTAGAGGCTGAATGGAATTCATATGGCTGAATGGAAGCTTTATAAATCATCCCCAAAGAGAAGTTTATCCCTGTAGTTATCATCCAGATTTTTTTCCATCTTCTGTGGATATATAGGCATCATATAAGTGTCTTTACACATTTACACACTATTGTAAACTTGGTTAAAATGTATTTGTGAGCAAAATTAAAAAAAAAACATATTTGGTACATCTCTGCAATACATGCTCCATCCCCCATGTTTTATTGTGGTACCAGTGCAGGCGATTAAACTGTGGGAGGGAGATGCGTTTGGGGTGCAATTTAAATGAATGGCAATGCAACGCACCTCCTGCACCAGAACGCACGGTAGGTGCGATTGCAGGGTACAGTGCTTTAATCGCATGAGATTAACAATTAACGCACTGTACTAGTGTGAACGGGCCTTCAAAAACACTGACAGACACACAACCACAGACAAAATCTCAAACACTCACAGACATTCTCACACACACACACACACATTGCATAAAACATTTTTATTTTTATTCCTTTTTTTTTAAGATCCACCCAGTCTCTCTACCTTACGAGAACTGGAGTGGATCCTCAGCCTGGGGTCCAGTGAGTGGATCCTCAGCTCCATCCATATGTGCATTGCTTGTACAGCTCTCTTGCACACTTTGTAGAGATGCTAGGAGCCAGTACGTGACGTCATTATGGTCCAGGCACCTCTACAGAACATGCTATGGAGCCGTAAGCAATACATGTATGGATGGAGCTCCCTCACGGCCATACCCCCAGTCCACCCCACCTCAAGCTAACACTCGGTGCCGGGCAGTATATTTTGAATGGCTGCTTGGTGGGACTTCCACTTAGCACAGTGGAAGGCACATGGCAGCCCACTGAACACGGGCTTGTGACCAACTTTTGGGTCGCGACCCACCAGTTGAGAACCACCGATGTAGAATATAGGACCAGCGTAACTGGTTAACTGGTTAAACATATGTAGCAGAAAAAAGTACAGCACCCCATCCCTAGCTCAGCTGCACACATGGATTTTTTTGGCTCCATCTGTCTTGCAGCAGTGCCTGTACAGAGCAACTGCACACCATGCTCAGCTCAGCCCAGCCTCTGGCCCAGACATACAACTGGTCAGCCTATTTGATATAAATTTGCCGCGCTGGGGTGGATTGATATCTGCTGCACTGTGGAAGACAGTGCAGGCCGGGACTTTTACTTAATTGTCGGGAGTTGCGGCTCCCGATATTATTCCATGGGCCGAAAGTGATTAAATAGCCCCCTCTCTCCCCTGGCCCTATCACTTCAGCAGGGGGTTCGGGGAGATAAGAGACTGTTTCACAATACAGAGTCTCCTGCACGCTGGTGTTGCGACCAACTTTTGAGTTGCGACCCATTAGTTGAGAACCAGGGCTCTAGAGGGATGCATGGGAAAGAATGTGGGTCATGTCTGGAGATCACCTTTATGACCAGAATATTTTATCCAAAGGTGATCCTAGCAGAGGGGTGCCTAAGGTTACGTTGCCTTTAGAAATCCACTTCGGCATACTCATCAGGTTCTACTAAATATCCTAGAAAAACTTGCAGTTTACCAAGTAAACACTGCCAGTTGTGTAAGTTCCCTTTTATGCTGAAAAATCAATTGTGTTTCTGGAATTCAGGGGGATGCTGAAATCACGCTGTGCTTATGATATGTCAGGAAAATACTTCTGAATGAACGTAATTGAATATGATCTTCTTTCTGTTTTGCAGGGTTTCCACGAGGAAGAGGATGAAAGCTTGGTCATAGCACAGGAAGCTCAGGAAACAGAAGTGATTCACTATGAATATCACGTCCTGTACGCCATCAGCTACCAAGTCCCTGTACTCTACTTCAGAGCCAGCTTTTTGGGTATATTTATCTTTTATTTCGACTGCTAATAATAATTACCATCCTCCTCACATTAATATTATCTAGAACCTTTTTTACTGCCTAGTTTGCTGGAGGAAGAATGGCAGGTCTAATATCACAGCTACATACAACATAAATACTTTTCCTTACAACACTTTACTTGAACAATGTTCAATATTATGCTGGACACACACCTTACAACCTTTGCAAGACTTTTGTCTTGCGATGGTTATAAGGTAATTTAAAAAACGTACGATCTGCCTATCTTGGACAGGCAGATCGTACCTGCGATGATCGCAAGCCCGCCCCGCTGAGGGGCGGGCTACCGATGACTGCAATCTGAACGGGCAGTGTGTGCTTGCGCACAGCAGCCCATGCGGCTTTTATCTTGCGAACATGCCACAAACCAGCCGGAAATCGTACGATGTTCGGCGGGTTTTCGAACATGTTCCTAAGATAAAAGTCGTGCGACCTTACAGTAGCAGAGGTCGCACGCCTTCCACACACCTTACGATAATCGTACAATCGCGGGATTTCTTCTCGCTCACTCAGGGGTGCCTCAAAATTTTTACACAGCGTCTTCCCTTTCTATAGTACAGCAATGTCAAACGGTGAAAATCTGTTGTGAAAGGGGGGCTCTGATGTTAAAGGGGAGTTCCTGACGTGAAGGGGGCTTCTGATATGATAAGGGCTCCTGATGAGATGGGGGGCTTCTGATATGATAAGGGCTTCTGATGTGAAGGGGGCTTCTGATATGGTAAGGCCTGCTGATGTGAAGGGGGGCTTCTGATATGGTAAGGCCTGCTGATGTGAAGGGGGACTTCTGATATGATAAGGGCTGCTGATGTGAAGGGGGGCTTCTGATATGATAAGGCCTGCTGATGTGAAGGGGGCTCCTGGTATGAAGGGGGGCTTCTGATATGATAAGGGCTGCTGATGTGAAGAGGACTCTTGATGTGAAGGAGGGGGGGCTTTTAATGTGAAGGGAGGCTCTGATGTGAAAGGGGGGCTCTGATGTCATGGTGGGACTTTTGTGTTTTTGGATGGGTTTCCCCTTAAAATCCAAACCAGATCCCTATCTGGTATAAAGGTCTGGTATAGATTTTGGAGGGGCCACACGTCATTTTCTTTTTACATTTCTACATGCAAATTGTTTTACATTTTTAGACTGAGGGGCCCAGAGAATTTGCACACTTTTAAAGGGTTGAGAAACGCTGGTCTAGTGTGTACATTAAATCACATGTAATCCATAAATGACGTTTAGTTTGCATCATCCAGAATAGTCATGGTTTTTTACATTTAAATACAGTTTTCACTTTTTTTTTTCATCATCAGTGCTGCTGATCTTTTGTTGCCACTTCCCGTCTACATGCCGGTACTCCAACAACTGCTGAATGTCATTTATCAGGGCCCTTTTCCTATCAGTGGAACATTGTGCAGTGTGCATCGGCTTGGTCACTTGTAGTCACCATTGGAGAGTGTGTGAAAGGGTGACAACGCAGGACCACATTTGACATACAGGGACAGAGCATTGTCATCCTATGACAGGAAGTGGCTGAACAAGGACTCTCATGGCAGGATCACCAGGTTTTTTTATGATTTAATGAAGGCTGTAGATTTAGAAATTGAAAATGACTTATGAAATTACATTACCATGTTAAAGTGTATATGAGATTTTAGTGTCTGTGTTTACGGTCATTGTAAATTTGAACTCCTGGCAAAAGGCACAAAGAAATGCGCCTCTGTAGTTATTAATACATTTTTTTTATTTTTTAAATGCAAGTAGTATAAGTACCTGAATTTGACTTGGTATCAGCCTCTTGAAGTCTGTTCAGCAAAGCTCTGAGAGGTGGAGGGAGAAGCTGCACAATGAGATAATCAGATGTGCTGCAGTACAAGAACCATGCTGATAGGAATAAAGTGCAAAGCAACAGAGAATATGCTTATCAGTATGCTGCTTCACCCCTCATTGTCCATTCAAAGGGTGGGGCTGGGAGGAGACCCGTAAGTGAAAGTGAAACTGCAACAGAGAACGATTAGATTGTTTCCTTTGCTAAAGAGAGTTGTGCTGTGGGCAGAGCAGTGTAAATCTCAGGAGTGGATGAACAGAAATACAAATCATTTGCCAGGTAGAACAGCACTCATAATACACATCTGTGTATTTAGCTGGAGTTCAGATTTAAAGTGTATTTCTACTTTTGCAGTGAAATTTGAGAAAACCCCATTGTATGTTTGTTATGTGTTCCTATTCACACAGCATACCTATAAAAAAAAATTACCTTTTAGATATCTCTGTGTAGCAGGCCTGTGCAAGGTTCTCTCTCAAAGTGACAGGAAAGTATGTCTGTCCCCACTGAAAGACTAGGGACACTCTGAGCTTCCTCCATTAACATAAAATGCTTCTAGCTCTTTAACCCTTTGTTAGAACAAAAAATGTGCAAATCTAGTTTACTGATAATGAGATCCACCTGCACAGTATAGACAGGGTTATATATGGTCATCTTCCCACCCTCCTTTGCATTCCAGAGGAAGATTCAGTACAGAAAAAAACTATTCTCTAAAAATAGAGCAAGTCATATGCAAACAGCAATTGTAATTTTTTTTTAAGTTATGATTTGTGAATGTGAACATGTAACAAACATAACAAAGCTGTTATCCCAATTTGGCTGCAAAAGTGGAAAAACACTTTAAGGGGTTATTCACTAAAGAGCCGAAGGATCCAGCCGTAGCTCCGGCTGATCCTTTGGCATTCTTCGGCTGCCCTTGCCCTTTGGTTCAGTTGAACCGAAAGGCTGCTGTACGGGCTATTCACTATAGCTCGTAGAGCAGCTAAAGGCAGCCAAGCGGCTCAGCCGAGCCGAACGCATATGCTTCAGCTCGACTGAGCCAAAGTGACAGCCGAAGGGCCGGCCGTTCTCCACGCAAATGACTGCTAGGCGGAGCCAGCCGTGATCTTACGGCTGGCCCCGCTCAGTTGTGATGACAGATCAGGGTCCCCAAATGCCCTGGGGGCTAGGATCTGTCATTAAACAATAACAACTGGGCAGAGCCGCTGCGCCCAGCTGTTATTCATTGGCCGGGACCTGCTAGAAGACTCTGGCAGGTGCTGGCCAATAGGAAACAATTGGGCGGATCTAGCTGCTAGCGCTAGCTCCGCCCAATTGTTTGTTTTCCTTTTCTTTAAAATATATATATATATTTTTAATTTCCCTATTTGTTATCGAGCAGAATAGCCGAGCCGAATGCCGCTTGGCAGCATTCGTCTATTCACATACTTCCGTTCGGTCCCTTTGAGAATAGGGGCAAACGGCAGCGACTGAGCTGCCGGAGCTTCGGCTAAGCCGATGCAGATCTTGGATCGGTTGAGTTGAAGTCCCTCTGCACTTCGGCTCTGCATGTTCGGCTGGCCGAAGGCAGCCGATGTACGGCTGAAATCAGCCGTAATGAGCCGGAATAAATAGCCGAACAGCATTCGGCTCGGTTATTCATTTGACTGCTTTCTGCAGCTAAGTGAAAAATCCTGTAAGTCTGACTTCAAATTTGGATGTTGCAACACACTGCAATACATTGGAGAGTTGTAAAAGGGGCCTTAAAGGTTACTACACCAAAAATAATATTTCATTTTTTTTAAAGATGTTACAGTGTTAAAAGAGAAGTGAAGCCAAATGGTTTTTTTTTTTTGGCTTTACTTCTCTTTCGGGTCACAGAAGTACATTTACTAATGTAAAGTTAAAATAGGTCTAATTTACTGCCAGTTTCCTTATCTTTGAAATGGCAGTATTCCTCCATGAATTTGTAGCAGCCATTGCGACATAAGTGTAGTTTATAAAAAAAATACCTGTATTATGAATTTAGCGCAAGACTTTCTAAGGCTACTAAAGCTAGCAAAGTATCACAATTGCTATATTGAAGTCCAGTGTTTTTAGGGATGCACAGATACTTTTCGAGTACAAGTGCAGATACTTGGCATTTTCATGAGAACTACCAGGGTTGCAGCGGTTGCAGCTGGTACCTGTCTCTGGCGCTCCACCACTGTCCTGAAATCATTAGTCTGTATTGTTTTAGAAAAAGTGTCACATGACAATAAACAAAAATGTATCAGTACTCGTACTTGTAAGTACTCGTACTCGCAAAACTGGTATCTGTGCATCCCTTTATTTATATTTATAAAAACAAAATCGTACATTAAAACATAGATGTACAAATCCCAGGAGCTCCGTGTGCTCCTTACAAATGGCAGCTGCCTCCTAATTTTTGAATTTTTCTCTAGTCTAGTCTTGGAGCTCAAAAGTATCGGTACATGTACTCGTACTTGTACCGAGTACTGTACTTGGTATCTGTGTTTTTATAATGCTATAGTGAAAACAATGTCTATGGCATTAAATGCAAATCTTGCCACTGGATGTCCCAAGAGATATCTAAAAGCCAGAGGATGATGAAAACCCACCAGACTACACTTATAACCAAAATTTCAACTTTTGAGTGCACTGACCCTTTAAATGCATATGTGCACAGAGATAAAACTCAAAAGCAAATGAAATCTAGCATGCTCTCAGGTGCTTCTAAGTTGCTTTGATCTGAGTTGCCTATGGGGTAGCCTTGAGGTGCTTTGAGTTGCTTTTTACCTTTAGATTGATTTATATGGGGAGGAAAAGCATTTCGAACAAAGTACAATGCTTGCATTCTGCATTTCTTTTAGAACTCATGTTGGCGTGCGTTCTTGCATGCATGCGTATAAATGGCAAATGCAGTGTGACAAGAAAAGGCTGCATTTGACCTACTTTGCCTGCAATTCAAACGTACTTCAGTAGGACATTCTAAGTCCCCCCCCAAACAAAAGCTCACTCAGCCTCTGAACTGTCATGTGCTCTGCTCAGTTAAAATCAATAGGATTTTGACACCCCGCATTGACGTGTGTTCCAAATGCATGTCATCAAAGATTATATATACCACAACAGTTTGGGCCAAGAGTTGGGTGTGTCAGTCTTGCGTGAGCTTGG